ACCTGTAAGTCATCCACATATTCCACAACAATTTTAGAGTTGATCCCTTTTGTCTATTTCTGACCTAATGCACTGAAATGGAATCATGGTTTGATCTTAAACACAACTGTTGAAAAACACCTAAGACCTCTAATGAATTTGGTATACAGTGCATAACTGCAATTTTGGTTTTCTGAAAGCAAGGCTTCTGGCTTCAGGGTAATACATTCTGGCTTTTAAAATGCTGCAGACAAACAAGGTTTGATGAGTTTGATGAGCATTTCCACCTGTATCTCTGCCACCCTCTCTAGCAGATTATGAACCACGAGATGCTTAGTAGGAGGAATTTCCTTCAGTGAATTTGTTGCTTTTTGTTCTCCTCACTTTCTCGGCCTCAATGAGTAAAACTGAGTATGACAAGTAATGGGAAGAGCAAACTGCTTGCAAGTGCTTTTCAGGCCACAAAGGTGAACACCTGGAAGTATCTGACCCTACCTGATGGTCTCTTATAGAATCTGCAGTCAACCTGCCCCCCTCCCCAAGAGGATACATACCAAAGTTATGGGAAAATAATTGTAGTATTTCAACTAACTTACCTTTGCTTTTTTGTTCAGTGACCTGTGAAGTAAAAAGAAAAAAGAAAATTTGGTTAGTGATTTCCTAATTCTCTTTTGATCACTACTAGACCTACTACCAATTTAGGGGCATCATTAGCTTTCTTAAGGCATGCCTAACTAGAAAACTTTGGTCCTATTATTTCCCCTCTACCCAAACAAACTATTTTCTAAAGTGGCATTCTATAAAGGTTTATATTTTATGCTTTGTTAAGGATCATGTTTGCTACACATTATGGGAGCTGCAAACCATCATGGTTAGAGGATTGTTGGACAACCAGAATGTGCATCTGTTAGATCTTCTTTCTCTTCTTACAAACAATTCTCAACCCCACTTAACTTCCAATTAAGGCATCGGATAAAATATTCAAGCCGCTATTAAAACAGGACTGAAATACTAGAATATGCTGGACATAGCCAAGGAGGAGAGCATGCTGCTCCACACTGGCCATCCTATGCCTCTTGGAAGCCCACAATCGGCTTAGGAAGATGAGAAATCTCTCCTACTGCTTTGTCAAGAGCTTGTGATAAAATGGAGCATCTAAGCCTGGTGAGTAGGAGAGACACTAGAAACCTCATGAATTAATAATACTGATTAGATTTATATCCTGTTTTGTCTCCAGAAACCTGATTCAGCTTATAGGAGGCCTGCCTGCATTTTATTTCTATAACAACCCTGTGAGATCAGATGAGCTTCAGTGGTTGAGAGCAACCTTGAATCGGTTCTAGTCTAAAATTTAATTGCTTCTCCATCCCTATTCTCATCAAATATCTGAAGGGTTGTCTATTAGTTTTGATTCTACCTTCTGGGGCAATAAACACTTGTTTCTCTGTTGCTCCAGAAGGTAAAATCAAAACTAACAGAATAGAATAGAATTCTTTATTGGCCAAGTGTGATTGAACACACAAGGAATTTGTCTCTGGTGCATAAGCTCTCGGCATACATACCCGCAATAAGTGATAAATCATTATCACAGTCATCGTAAAAATGCATCCATATAAACCATGAGATACATTGCTGCTACTATAATAAAGTAGGAAGAATGACAAGTATCTCAGGAGGAACTCCCTGACTGTAGCAAGCTGCAGATGACTGATGTGTAGTGTTGAGGTGGTGAAAAGAAGGCTGGACCATGGAAGGGAAACTTGCCCAAAATGGGTGGAGATTACTGAAATCTTTTCCAGTCAGGATTTTATTCATTTAAATGACAAGGCTGCTCTATTTCTTGATGACCCCAGGCTTTTAATGCCAGTTAGTTGTGCCTGTTTCTGCAATCCTAATGGTAATGGTCACTAGTCTAAATGATGACCATTGTCAGAGCCCAATGGGGGGAATGGGTCCCTCTTGGTGGTCTTGATACCATCAACCGGAGCATCCTTCTGCACTGCTTTATGAGATGGGAATTGGCATTACCACCCTGCAGTGGTTCCACTCCTATCTCAGCTGGGGATCATGGGAGATCAACACTTGAGTCCCTAAAAACCCCAGTGTGGCATGCCTTGGGGACCAGTGCTTTCTGCCAGTTTATTTTAACATCTACATGAAGCTGCTAAGAAATCATTCAAAAGTCTGGAATGAAGTTCCATTAACTTCTGGACCCTTGGATGCTGCTGAAAACACAGATGAAAACTGAGGATGGAAGGGGTCTCTGCCCACATCCTCATTACCACTCAGTTGGACGGCTTCTTTAACACACACACACACACACACACTCCACGTCTGATCTGGAATCTATACAGCTGGTACAAAATGTGTCGCTATATTCCTGGTGAAACCAAGCCAGAATAATACCTACTTTGAAGTCACTGTAATAATTGCCAGTTGGCTTCCAATTGGCAACCTCAGAGTACTGGTAAATTCCTTTAAAACCCTGTATAGCACAGCGGTCAGATACCATTATAGCAAGGTCTTGCTAGATTCACATCTTCCTATCTGATAGAATATTGAAGAGAGGCCTGTGCAGGACCCCTTCCCTTCAAAGTTCATGGACCAGGTCCAATATTCCACTCTGTGGAATATTCTCTCCCCTTCCCCCCCCCCACCTTGTGTGCAGATGAGCCTGAAGATGGTATTCCATAAGCACATCAAATAAATCTGGTTCAAACTTCAGTTTGTTTAGTTTTAAGGGCACATGTGATGCATAGTGGTTGATTTTTTAAAATATTTTAATTTTTATATAATTTTTTATCCTGACCAAAGTCTGGTTGGCAACCTATAAATATTGTGAAATAAGCAAACAATACTGAATGTTTTTTAGAAAGTGACTCAGCACATTACAATGGACTTTCAAGTAAAAGCTCTCAAAAGTTATTTCTACAATAACCGAAGCCAATATTTGTTCTTCAACATGCCTCAAAATTTAGTTCTAAAAATCAAGTAAGTCCATTGAGAACTTAAAGTAGTAAACTAAACAGAATCAAGCTTGAACTTGCTAAAAAAAATTAAGTATTGCAGAATAAACTGGAGAGTGGCCCTCTCTGAGGTCAGCGTGTTCTTCTGCCAGAACACTTCCCTATTCAAGCCAAAGAACTGATGGGTAAGGCCTGGTCTTCCTGCACGGGAATGCCTAGGATTTGGCCCAATCCCTAGTAACCACAGCAAGTGAAAAGGGAGGTTAGAACAGGTGCGGAGACTGTTCCCTCCCTAGGCCTAAGGAGTAAAATGTAAGTGAGTGATCTGTGGTGGGGGTTTGAGAAGTAGCGTGTGGGAAGCTGACCCTTGCAAGGCCTGTGGGGATCCAGCAAAGTGGGATGGGAGGAGGGGCATGCTGCAGTGTCTCTGTGGACAGTTGTAAAGGTGAACAACTGTGGGGACCTTGCAGTGGCTGTAACTTTGAAACTGGGCTATAAAAACCTTTTGGAGGGTCTGTTATAACTTCAGTCTCTTCGGTTGTGATTCTAATAAATAAACTTCATGGAGGCTTTTAGTAACCTGTACACTACATTAAAAAAAATCTTCTAATCTCAAAATAAAACACCAGACCTTTCTATTATAGTATTTCAACTAGCTTCTGGTTGGAACCCTCCCCCAATTCTTTTAAAAAAATGTTCTACTGAAAGAAACAATGGGAACTTAAGGCCCTTTATTGTTTCTATAGCAGGATGACAAAGGTAGTTCATGCTGGGTGCTATTTGCAAACTAACAGAAAAAAGGTTAAGCAAATGATTAAAAAGAATATTACATCAGCAAATAATAAGGAACAGTCAGACACACTTTTTCAAGACTTCATGTGCCTGTCACAGAAGTAGACAAACAGCAATGAATTAACTTTCAAAAACATGCCTGAAACATAAAAACAGCAAAGATGTTTATCTTCTAATAAATGCACTTTATACTTTCAGTTTTTGTTGCAAAAGTGATGAAAAATACAACATTATTTCCATCTGGAAACCAGAAAGCTAATACTATAAATGCTGTATCTGTAATGCACATTCACAAAGTAGTTTTGCACTCCACAATACTTTTGCTAAAGGAAGCCCACATCAAATATGACAATGGGTATCTGGGTATTTTTTAGATTGGTAGGAGGCAGAAAAGAGAGGGAGGGTTCAATTGTGGATTCTCTCCGCAAAGCGGATAGTTTAAATTACCATCTCGATTAACATATTTTACTTTTTTGTCTCGTCTTATTTTTACATTTACATATTTTTATTTTTATTAGACACTATTCCCACTCAATCATCTGAGCCCTAGCTAGATAGGCATAAAGAAAAATATCTGTAAGTGTAAAAGCCTTAATTGTCATAGGATTTTTTAAAAATATGGTACACAGTATTTGAGGCAATTAGAGAATCTTTTTTAGCATAGAGTGACAGTTACCATAGCTAACAATTTTACCGGATTCACTTATTGTTCAAAATGTTACCTTGTTGAGTTCATGTGCCATGGCTGCACCACAGACTAATGTTTATTGCCAATAATCAAACAAGCAGAAAGGGCAATGCTACAACATACCAGATGACATAAATCCCTCATTTAATTTTCCAAAAACTAGTAATAAGAGGGAAAGTGCCTTCATTACTGTCATGCCCTCTATAGCCTTATTCTCCGGGAATGTCTAATCCTCCTTTATCACCTACATATATTGGCTCAGATGAAATCTTATTTTGCATCATTCTATACAAAGGTTATGAATTCTATTGGTTATCAGAAAACTGTATAGAAAAGAAATGGTTCACTATTATTTATGGTGACGTACACTGTAGCATTATTGTTACAACTTGTGTAATAATTGTATTTATTACTTATTTATGTATTGCATTTGTATGCCACCCATCCCTCCCACAAGGTGACTCCGGCGTCATATGATATTTCTATCACGTGCCAGACCATTATAGAATACTCCTCTTTTTTCCTAAATTAATACACCCCAAGCAAGTATTTTAATTAGAGCGCACACATTTGGAACAGCATTCAGGTAACCTGAGGGCACTCCTTCACTTCATGAAACACCTTATTCTCCCGCTCACCTTCTTCTGAGCAGCTTCTTTCTTTCTCTTGTCGTCTTTCCTCTTTCTCTTTTCTTCCATCAACTGTTCTTCCTCCTCTTGCACCAATTCCCTGGAGGATAGGGCTGAAGTTAGGAATGCATTCTGGAAAAATAGCCTAACTATTACAGGTAGCCCTCACAACTGTTCATTTAGTAACCACAGGAAGTTACAAATTGGCACTGAAAAAAGTAACTTATGATCTGTCCTTGCATTTATGACCACTGTGGCATCCGCCATGTGAATAAAATTTGGGGACTTGAAACTGGCATGCTTGTATGACGGTTGGAGTGTTCCAACATTCTTTTTTCACTGTGCTTCCATATTATTTACTAAGTTTTACTCTTCAGTTAGTATCAAACCATTTACAGTTAATACACTTTTATGCTTTCCTTTTCTGTCTGAAGGACAGCATTGTCAACCAGAGGAAGTGAGGTGCTTCCTGGAAGAACCGTATTCAGTTTGTTTTCCAAGAGAGGTTGGAGCAATTAAAACCCCTCTTCACTCTAATTCTTTGCTGTTGGAACACAGCATTTTCAACTTCTTGATTTATTGTAAACGGCAAAAATAATACAGAATTCTTCTTGTTTCTATCCTGATTTTAATGCCAAAATTTTCTACACTTTTGCTAAATTAACTCACTTTAATTTCTAAGCAGGTGGCTTCCTGTATCCTTCAGCTGCTATAGCCAATACAGTGAGAAAATTAACCCAATGTCCCTAGGAGACATTGCCCTGGCTTTCTCATTGTCAGAGTTCAAGCTCATTTTGCTCATTTCATCCTCTGAGCTTTATGGCAAAAGTAACAAGATTCATGAGCTAATGGCTTTTCCTGGACTTATTTAATAGATCCTATTACAGATCCTCTCCCATTCCTTTCTGCAAACTTTTTATCTAAAATCCTTACTGTGGATCTTGAGTTCCCAAAGTCTACAGGATTCAGGCCAAGCCCCTCAGCGTAATCAAGGGCATGATAGTTTGACCAAACACGTTTTACTTAACCTTATGGAGTACAATCCCTGTTATGCCTGTTGTCTGTCAGGGAGACGACTAAGCCTCCTGTTACACAGATTAACAGAGTTGGAAGGGACCTTGTAGGTCATCTAGTCCAATCCTCCACTCCACCCAAGTAGGAGACCCTACACCATCCCTGACCAACAAAACCAATTTTGCTGTATTTATTTTGTACAATGACATTAAAGGATATAAATATATATATATAAATAACCTGCAAGGTCACTTCCAACTCTGTTAATCTAAATCCTGTCTGCCAGGCACTGCTGTGGAATGTGTCCCAGTGATGCTCTCAAGGAAATAATCCAACCACTATAGCAATAGCAATAGCAGTAGACTTATATACCGCTTCATAGGGCTTTCAGCCCTCTCTAAGCGGTTTACAGAGAGTCAGCATATTGCCCCCAACAATCTGGGTCCTCATTTTACCCACCTCGGAAGGATGGAAGGCTGAGTCAACCCTGAGCCGGTGAGATTTGAACCGCTGAACTGCTGATCTAGCAGTAGCCTGCAGTGCTGCATTTAACCACTGCGCCACCTTGGCTCTATAAGGACTCTTCTCCCCCCTTCCCATAGCAAACTACTGAAATATAAAATATGCATACAAACCTTGACTTAAAGTCTTATAAAACACAAATCTGGAGCAATGATTTGTATTTGGACAGGACTATTTTTGGTAGTTTCATTTATGAAACTGCAAGGAGAAAGAATGCAGTTTAGCACATGTACACACAATCTGTTGAACGGAGCCCATCCTTATGACAAGGTCCTGCTTTTCCAGCCAATTTAAATTACAGGTAATCCTCGACTTACGACCACAGTTGAGCCCAGAATTTATGTTGCTAAATGAAAAATTTGTTCAGTGCCCCATTTTACGACTTTTCTTGCCACATTTTTAAAGTGAATCACTGCAGTTGTTGAATTAATTGTTAAATGAATTTGGCTTCCCCGTTGACTTGATGTCAGAAGGTCGCAAAGGGGATCACATGACCCCAGGATGCTGCAACCAGTTTTGCGAAGCATCTGAATTTTTTCACGTGTCCCATGGGGATGCCACAACGCTTGTAACTGAAAAATGGTCACAGGTCACTTTTTTCAATGCCATTTGTAACTTTGAACAGTCACTAAATGAACTGCTGTAGGACAAGGACTGCCTGTACAAGAGTTTTCACTGTATGATCCCCACATTCAATGGGATGAAAGGGGCATTCAGTGTTGAAGTCGGTATTGTCTTGCAAGGCCCTTTCAGAGCTCAATGACATGGGAACACACAGGTGCGTAGCCTCACACGCAGTAGGCTACGCAATACATGGCCAGCTACTCACACCCAGCTCTTCCATCAACCACGCATGCAAATACCACACACCCAAAGAACTAGGTTACCACCCTGCACAAGAGCCAGGAGCAACCCTTTTCCACCTCTCAGGACTGAGCAGCCTGTAGCAGAGCAATTTCTTGCACTGTTGGCACATCAGCTCCTGCCTGCGCTGCACTCCTCCTGTCCCCCTTGATGCGCAAAACTTGTGCTGTGCCAGGGTGGCTGTGGGACAGAATAGCGACTCACTCCAGGACATGAACTGGTGTAGGGCCAGATTGCCAGAGAGAGCATCTGCTTTTTCCCTTAATTTTAAATTATTTAATTATCAGATGAGATCTTATACTTGCTTGTGCTTCACTGCGGTGACAGACTACCATGAAGTGTGGGAAGGGAGGCGATGCTTCGGGAAATGAAAGTAAGGGCTTTATCTCCTTGAGACGCTGCCTCAAGTCACCCAGCTGGAAGGAGGGGTCCACCTACCAACCCCGTACTTGAATGACTGTTAGGAACACAACTTGCCTGAACCATATTGGTTACACTGACTGGGAAGCAATGAGACAGTGTTAAGGGAGGAAAGAATAGAACTTATGGATTTTGGTGTGTGATTTTCAGTTCTGGCTTTGCACTAGTGCAATGGATCTGATGTCTAATAAACTATACCTTTCTCAAGAAATGGATCGAAGAATTGTTTCTATTTAGAGCAGTGGTGAAATTTAATTTTTTTTACTACTATATAATTTTTAAATTGTATGGAGAGTGCTTGGTATGATTGTGGTTGATTGAATGTACCCACTTTTATTGATGATATTGCTGTTCTTGTTTTTAACTTGTTCATAGGGATTGACTGATCATATGTGTTTGTATGTGTGTGTGTGGGTCGGGAGCATAGCTGGGTACCTCCTGCACTGAGTGCTTTGCAGAAGTGTCAGGGGGGCCCAGGCTCAATCCTGTCCTCAGATGTTTGTGTCGAAGGGCCTGCCGGTGAATCCGGTGGCCGGGGGGGGGGAGGGACCATAGACGCAGGAGTGGGCCGGAACATTAGGGTCATAACGGGGAGGGAACTTTAGGGCGAGCCATTACCGGGGAAGGAGGGTTCCCTACGTCATAGGGATCCCTCCTTCCGGCCCTTTTAGTTCCACTCCAAGGCCAGTTGGCATGAGTAGTCAGGGCTCCGCGAGCTGCACTGGCTACCTATTGGTCTCCAGATACGCTTCAAGGTGCTAGTCGTCACTTATAAAGCCCTTCATGGTATTGGACCTGGGTACTTGAGAGACCGTCTGCTGCCAATTACCTCCCAAAGGCCCATTAGATCCCACAGATTAGGCCTCCTCCAGATTCCATCTACTGGCCAATGTCATCTGGCTACTACCCGGAGGAGGGCCTTCTCTGTGGCTGCTCCGGCCCTCTGGAATGAACTCCCCGCGGAGATTCAGACCCTTACCTCCCTCCAGGCTTTCCGTAAAGCCGTTAAAACCTGGCTGTGTCGGCAGGCCTGGGTTGACGAGTTCCCTTCCCCCCCCCCGAATTGTGTGACTGTTGATTGTTTTTTAAATTCTCTTTGTATCTTGTTTGTTGTATTACTTTGTTGTTTTACCCCCACCTTCTGGGTTTGTTAGCCGCCCTGAGTCCTTCCGGGAATAGGGCAGCATATAAATGCAATAAACCTTCAAACCTACTGGTTCTGTGGGTGTGGCTTGGTGGGCATGGCATGGGAAGGATACTGCAAAATCTCCATTCCCACCTCACTCTGGGGTCAGCCAGAGATGATATTTGCCGGTTCTCTGAACTCAAAATTTCCACTACTGGTTCTCCAGAACCTGTCACCCAATTTAGGAGGCTTAAGTTGTGGCAAGTCTGACACATACAGCTTCCAGTGATCAGATCATCTTACTGTCCTAAACAGTATTAATGCATTGATTCTCTAGGAATGCTTTTGTTATGCACAAATATGTAGTTTTGGGTCATTTTCCTCAATAAATAAATGAACAAAGTTTTTGTCTCGTTTGTTTCATCAGGCTTTCTTTGTCTATATTTAGGCTTTATGTGGGAACAGATTTTAGATCATATTTATGCAGAAATACTGAAAATTCAAAGGGTCCACAAACTTTTTAGTCCCACTGTAATTTTCTCATATTGTGTTTCCAGGGAAAGAGGGAAGGAACAATGTCTGGTGTACGGAATGTTTAGCAATGGACGCCTTCTCTCTTCAAAGAAGACTGAAAATCAGAGTATTTTATGGAGAGTTTTTATAGCTAGAGAAATTTTGACAGCACTCCACAGGACATCTTGTGAGTAATGCAGTGTTGGTGGGGAATAAGAGGAGAATAAGGCTGGCATGGATGTAGATAACACTTAACTGAAAGAAAGTGTTCCTGATTCAAAAATATGTAATACAGCTTAAGCAACCACAGACTTCTGTTTGGTCACAATGTAACACAAAGGTTTACAATGCCATCTTTGTTTTTCCATCTTCCGTCTTAAATGAAGGGAAACACAGTTTAACACCTCAGAGAACACTTCCTCAGTTTCTATGGACTAAGCAAGGCTTAAACGATCTAGCTCTTGTACAGCAGACGTCTACAGTACCCTGAAGAACCAGTAAAGTGAATGGGGCTATAAAGTAGGGCTCTCCAAACTTGGCAACTTTTAAGACGTGTGGACTTGAACTCACAGAATTCCCCACTCAGCAAAGCAAAGTGGCTGGGGAATTCTGGGAGTTGAACTCCCAAATATTAAAATTGG